GGCGCCCTACTCACTGAGCCACAGGCACCTCCCTTGCTAGGGATTTTTTTGGAGACAGTCTTATCTATTACCTCATACTTCTGGGCTCAAGTCATCATTTTGCCTTAGCCTCCCAAGTAGGTGGGACTATAGAAGCCTGCCACAACACCTGGCTATTTTTAGTAGAGATGAGAACCTACTCTGTTTAGGCTGGTCTGTCTTCTAAAGTCAACAGGTCCACCTGCCTGAGCCTCCCAGAATGCTAGGATTATAGGAATGAGCCACCGTGTCTGGCCCACTCTCAGATTTTGATACATACTCGGTGGAATATTGCCTAATGAGGGGTTAATAGCTTGGCTTCTCCACTTATTGGGGGTGGGGGCAGTGTGTCTCCTTCCCAATTTTATGATACTGGAATCTTACTGTTACCCACCTGTTACGTGAAGTGGGAAAAGGTATAGAGAGTGCTTAGCAAATTTCAAAAGAGTACAAATTTACACTTATACACTTGTTAGAAAATACTGTTAATTTTGACTTAGAAGTGAATATAGCCTTTCTTTAAAGGGTGACTGGTGTTTGCACTCTCTCACACTTGCTTTTGGGATGAAATGCTAATGATGATTATACATTTCTCTCCAGGTGTAAAACTTTTTTTGTGGTGGTGCTAGGACTTGACAGGTTAACGTCTGCTGTCCTTTTGTCCCCTCTTAGTTCATCCGGCAGTGGTAATACGGCAGCGGAAGTCATACCGGAGAAAAGATGGTGTGTTTCTTTATTTTGAAGATAATGCAGGGGTCATAGTAAACAATAAAGGCGAAATGAAAGGTAAGAAAGCAGTCCAGGTTGTTGCTTAGATCTCTGAGTTTGGATGGTTTAACTCTGGAACTATAGGCAAAGGACCTCTGATGTCTTAACCTGTTTCCTTACGTTTTTTTTTTTTTTTTTTAATGCAGGTTCTGCCATTACAGGACCAGTTGCAAAGGAGTGTGCAGACTTGTGGCCAAGGATTGCCTCCAATGCTGGCAGCATTGCATGATTCTCCAGTATATTTCTAGAAAATATTAAAACATGCGTGATCCCAGTGTTTGCCTCCCTGTTCATTTCTAGACTTTTGACATCCCCTGAACAGGCTGTAGTCCCAGCTGCTCAGGTGGGAGAATTACTTGACCTATCTCTTTGAGGGGGTGGGGAAAAGAAACATGAAATAGGGCAGCACCTGTGGCTCAGTGAGTAGGGTGCCAGCCCCATATACCGAGGGTGGTGGGTTTGAACCCGGCCCTGGCCAAACTGCTATAAAAAAATAGCTGGGCATTGTGGCAGGTGTCTGTTGTCCCAGCTACTCAGCAGGCTGAGGCAGGAGAATTGCCTAAGCCCAGGAGTTGGAGGTTGCTGTGATGCCCCAGCATTCTACGAAGGGTGATAAAGTGAGATTCTGTCTCTAAAAAAAAAAGAAACAAAATCTTTATCCAGGTGTATATAAAACAAGATGACGGTCCTTGCCCTTTTGTTAAGCTTAGAGATTTTTGGTACTTTACGATGTCTGTATTTCCCATTTTCCTGTTAAAAGTTACTTGAGTTTCAAGATCCCTAAAATAAATTGCAGATAGTAGGTACTGCTTGATGACAGGTTACTCTGTGTAATTTGAGTGGTGTGAATGGGAGCCTGGTCTGTGTGTGTGTGTGT